AATGTTATTGTCATGCGACTCAGCTTCCCCAGGATGGATGATTGAGGACCATTGAAAAAGCATCTCAAATGCACATGACCTTGGTGAGCCCTTCATTTGGCCAATCAATACAGCCTGACATTTTCCCAATTGAGGTGTGAAGATCAGCCAATTTCCAAGCATAAACTAATTTGCATCGAGTTGAAAAACAAGTCAGCCAACATACCTCACTTTCAGACCAATGGTGACAAAATTAGTAAAATTCAGCCTGAGATGGAAGCCAAATCACAGACCAGCCTAGCAAATGACATCGCTGGGGAGTCTTCCTATGGGGAGGAAATCAGTCAGACAACAAATGGAGAAATTAAGCAAGGGCTAGGACTGCTAAAAGGTCACCTTTTCATGTGTCACCCTCCCAGTTAATATTCTTTAGATTAGTACTGCTGGGGGAGGGAGAAGGAGAGAGTAATTCTTTGGTAGAGTATTTTGGCTGGAAGCCAATAGGCACAGATTATGCAAGGTGCCGCCCCTTTCTGGAAAATATTCATGTGGAAGACCTCTTGTTCAAAGAACCGGATTGGCTTCCATTTATTCGGCACCCTCCTCTTACCTGTTTCCTTGTCTTTTTTTTTTTTTTTTGTCTCTTTATTAGTTAAACCTGGCTATTGGGTTGACATACAAATATTTAATATTAGCAGATAGTTAAATAACAATTAGACATTATGCAACAGAAACAGTGCCTCAGACTTCAAAACATTTATACTGAGAGCATTTCGTTAGGGCAAAACAAATATAAGGCTTAGGTCTTCAAATACCCGCTGTTGGCTAATGGTCTAAGAGCCCTGAGAGATGTCTGGAAGCTGGGGTGGGGAGCTTGCTGGTAGGGACTTCTTTCAAGGGTACAGCACTAGAGAGGATCATAGGATATTAACCCCTAGGACTAGAATACTTAGATTGGAAGAACATTTGATTTGTAGTCCCTGGATTTCAGACATTTCCACGTGGTGTGTGCTTCTAAAACACTGACTCTATGGTCTCTTTGGGGGTTTACTTGGAAAATGAAGTCACTTTTGAAATTAAAGTGCAGGCAACTTCTGTGGCACATACATGTTAATTAATATGCAAATTAACATTTAACATAACAAGGGAATATGTGCCTAAGCATCACTTCCTGTATCACACATCATCTTCTGGTTCAAATCTCAGCATCTCAACTTCTCAATGCTTCTTCCGGAGACACTCTAAGAATTGCCTAAACAAACAAACAAAACTCACACTATCATTGAGTCGATGCCAATTCATAGTGGCCCCATAGGACCAGGTAGAGCTGTCCATGTCAGTTAATGAGTCTGTAACTCTTTGTAGGAGTACAAAGTCCCATCAATCTCCCAAGAATTGACTACACAAGGAAACCTGCCATTGTCTTCAGGAAGATGACTCTGGACACTCCCCATCATACAGGCCTGAACAGAAGCCAATAAACACCAGTTCTGTTTTGCTCAAATGAAGCAGCTTTCCATTTGAATTTCACTTATCTTTTAGCACTATGACATTGACCATGTACCCTACTAGGTGCCAGGTAGTAGACTTTGTATTTTTGCACTCATTAACTTGATTAAAATGAGCCCTGCTGGTGCCATGGTTAAGGTCTAAGTTGCTAATCCAAAACTGTGCTGTTCAAAGCCACTAGCCACTGCACAGGAGAAAAAATGTGGTGACCTGCTTTCCAAGTGATCCCAAAGAGAGACTCCTTGCTAATGATCAAGAAACACCCACCTGGTAGAAATGCTTGAATTCCAGAAATGTTTTTGAGGTCTGCATTGTGCTCAAAGGCCACATGTGGCAAGACTCCGTCTTACAGGGTGATTATGTGCTAGAATTTACTGGGTGGTAAGAAGGGATTTTAATGAAATTTCCTTCATAGCGACACTATTATTATCCCCATTGCGCATCTACAAAATCAAGTCATCAGCTCAAGTGTACAGCCATGGCCGGGAATCTAAGTGGGAACCGTAGATCTTCATAAAATTCCTAACTATAGTATTCATGTTGCAAGGAACCTCATAATTTGTATCTACAGTCTTTTCCTATCTGAGTGGACAAATCCCTATCAGGATTAACAACTGAATGGTCCAAACATTCACTATATGTTTCTGTTCGAATATAACTAAGTTTCTCAGTGTAGATTTCAGTCACTTAACATTACAGGTTTCTGCTCTGTTCTAAATGTCTATTTCAACAGGTACGTTGTGTTTGTTCTCATGCAAGTTTCACGCACGTATTCTCTCTTCTGTTAAATTATAGATACTTTGTTTCTCCTCATGTCATTTGTGAGTGGCTCAGCTTCAGAATACAAGGTTTGACCTGATCAAGGATCAGCAGTGTCAATCAGGGAACACTGTGGATCGTGGTGCTGCCATGGGGTGGGGGTGAGGGGTGGGCGTGCAGTGCTTCATTCTTGCCAAGGGGTTGGCATCCATTGGAGAGTGACCCCATGGCAATTAAAACAACATAAAATCCCACTTGACCTCAGTGAGTATTTTTGTATCTAAACCAAGAAGTACAAAGAAAAGCAAAGGAAAAGGAAAAATATATCCGGAAAGGGCAAGATTGGTATCAGGAATGAAAAGAGGGGAGGAAATAAAGAGTGATGGCTCTCTTTTTTGTTTGTTTGTTTTTTCTTTAAAACAAGACAACAACAAAAACACTGTAAATGAATAGAAAGGAAAAATAAAACACAATAGTGGGCCAATTAGTAAATTATTTACTGATATCCTGAGAAAAAAGTTTTGAAAAGTCAGATTAATTCTAATTCCTTCCAGTTCTTGAAAAGACATATGACTTTCCAAAAGGGGCAAACAAGCTTCCAGCCAAAGCCACCTACCCAACAGGATGGTCCCCCAAGTGACGCCAATTTAAACACGTGTGCTCAATAGCCCAACTGCAATAGAATGATTTTGCAGAGTGGCATGAATCTTCGCCTGGTATTTGAGTGGCCCACAATTGCTTTTCGGTACTCACAAGCACGTGGTAGCCCATTCTTATAGATGTCCATGTTAGCTTCATGTCAGCAGCCCCAGACACATCAGCCTTTTAAGGATGACAACACGTCAACTCCATTTGGCAAAGAGTTCTACAGAGGGAAACTGAGATTGAATCAAAAGACGATAGAAGTCAGGCTAGCTCCTCTACCAAGAAAAGTCACCAGCTGTTTCCAGTAAAAACGAGTTGCCTGTCTCATCATTTTGCTACCTGTAAAATTCCTGAGCCACTTTCTCTCCCTGCAGACCTCTGTTCTCCAAGGAACCTGAAGCTTCGTTTCAGTAAAACTGAGTGGGAAGGGTGGCAGTCACTTGGGAGACGGGTACATTCAGCAGCTGGAATTGATGTAAAGTCTGCACACTAACAAAGTATTTGGTAGTAAACGACTACATGGAGTGGCTACCCACTCAAATGAAAACAAATTTATGACAGGCTCATATTTGCAGCCAGCTGCCTACATCAGTGAAAACAAACACACACTGTACAGTATATAAAAATATGGTCAGCAAGACAAAGAAGTGTTTAAAAGAATACTCCTTGCAGAGCAAGAAGCATGGGAAGCCTGGGCCCTTGTACATGACTCATTTGCAAAATATTTTCCTAATGGAAATTCATAATAAGGAAAAGTTTCCAAGTACGTTAAACTTTTATCAGCACACAGCAAGGCTTTTTAGAAGACTGCTGTGTGGTAAGGGGGAAATGAAAAATCTTCAGGTCACCCTGATTGAAATGCTCTAATTTAGAAAGAATTCACAGCATCTTTTGAAAGATAGGCGCCATTTCCAAGGTTGATGCAATCTCAAACATGGAGACATGAAAGGAGAAATACAAAGGTTAACGGAAAATACCTTTGCTCAGAAAGCTATGAAAGCACTTCAAATACCAGAGCTATCACCTTCTACAGAACCTCAAAGATTTCTCAAAGAAAAGGCGAGAACCAGAGGGAATCAGTGAACAGAAAGACCCCAGGCAGGCTGCCGAATTGCAGGGAAAAGCTGGGGTGGGCCAGTCTAGCACAGAAGTTGCCTGCTCAAAGGGAAGCCTGAGAGAGTGAACCGAATCACCAGCGCCCAGTGAGTCTCATTTGCTTTTCCTCTCTAGTCTTCAAGATGCAGGCAGGGGGTCCTCTGCAAGGCTAATGTGGGAAAATTAATTAAGTGGCACTCACTTGCTATTGGGAGGTATCAAAAATGTATGGATAAAATGCATTACCTTTTCATTACATTTTTCCAGCAACAAACACCCTCATATAACAAAATAATTCCATCTGACCTTCATCTCGCTATTCAACACATTATGAAAAGAGTATACTTCTTCTACATTTAAGACATCTGGAGCCCACCATTCATGAATTAGTATCTTGAGGGTGGAAAGAGGGTGAACAAGGGTGGGTTGTTGAGGAAGAAAGGATGAGGTGGGAGGAGAAAGAGAACCATATAGATGGATGGTTTAATGGGATATTGTTGATTTCACTTCTCTTTTTCATTCCTTACATTTTCTTTTTCTTTTTTTATCATTTTATTGTGGCCTCGTACAACTCTTATCACAATCCATCTATCCATCCATTGTGTCAAGCACATTTGTACATTTGTTGAGCTGATACCAAGGACTCAAGTAGAAAGAAAATGTTTTGAGAACGATGATTTCACTTCTGGAGATGAACTGTGTAAGTATATATATAGCATGTTTCTTTAAAAACCAAACCGAACCAAAAATCCCTCCTGATTCCTTATCTCTCAATGCTAAGTAGTGGTCTGAGTTGTTAACAAAAAACAAACAAAATAGGAGGAAAAGTAAAATTGAAATGGATTTGGAGTCTTTAGGGACAAACAAATTCCTCTCCAACCAACCAACCAACCAACCAACCAACCAACCAACCAACCAACCAACCAACCATCAGTATCTTAAAGGCAGTGTCAACATCACAAACGTCTACTAGCATTACACTGGCTGGTAAGTTCATCATCAAAATTACTCACCTTCTCCTTTTATCCCAGGCACTGCTGTAGGCATCCAATGGTCTAAAGAGACCGCCATGTCCTTACCTTGCAGAATGCAACTTTGCCAGAAGAAGACAGCCAACATTTAAATAGAAATAAAAGCCATTGCAAATTCTGAAAAGGATGATTGAGGACAAGAGTAAAGTGATTAACAAGTAAGAGAGACTCCCCTTTAGATCGTGTAAGTAAGGGAAGATCTCTCTGAGAAAGAAACCTTTCAATCATCAGCTTCAAGATAGGAAACCCTGCTATAGAAAGCAGTTGCAACCAAACCCCTGAGCTGTGAACAGTCTGATGCGTCTGAGGAGAGGAGAGTGTGAGAGGGATGGACTGAGAGATGAAGGCGAGGGCTGTTCAAAAGGAAGGAGTTGGGCTGTATTACATGCAGTGAGGAGGAATGGCAAGATAGTAAGCAGAAGGTCATCCAATTCAGACTTTCAACGATCACGCTGGTCATTGCTCTGGCCAGGTAATGCTGCAGATTGTGTGGTCAGGGAGGGTAGGAATAGAAGAGAAGTCAACAATTCCAAATGAAAGATTATGATCTTGGAACGAGCATGCACTTAATGGCAACGATGCCATAACCTTATGGGCATTCACCTGCATCTCTGTCTAGTTAAGCTTTTAGGTCTGTGGGTCTTGCCTCCTGGTATGATTGTGCAGGCTGCCTATTCTCTTGTGCTTTTCAATTTGATCATTACTGAATAACAGAAGTTTGACAGATATGTGTTTATTGATTGACTAAGGTCAATGTTCCAAGTCCTGGCTTACAAAGCTATTAATAATAATACCATTTCTTCTAGGTCTACTATTCTATGATTCTCAGGTGACTGACCAGTGAACATTTACCCCGGGTACCAAAACAGTAGATGTCAGCATCTGTTCTGTCCACCAAAGCTCCCAGTTCTATCTGACCCTTGAATCTACTCACAGGAAGGTCCCACCAACATTGTGAAAGTCGGAGTGATGGCTCAGAGAATATACAATCTAAACCCCGCTTCAGTTTAAGTCACAAAACAAACTCCTAACCAATACTAAGATACTTCCCTGCAACTGAAATTTTAACACCTTCACAACACAAACAAACAAAAACCTGTTGAAACTTAAGCCTTGCTCAGGATACCAGTGAAAGTTGGTGAGGCCTTCCTATGCCGCCTCAACCACGGAGTGCAACGGAGCCGCTCTTTTACTGCTGCTCTCGTGCACGGTGCAGGCGCCACCGAGAGAGAAAAATGAACTTATACTTGCCTATTTATATTTGAATTAATATACCTATAGAATTTTAATTACAGAATGCAAGCTTGTGATTAATTTAATTTTGGCTTCAATTTACAAGGATGCACTTGGTTAATGGAGTGCCTTGTAAAAAGATGTTTTATTGAGGGATCTCATCACCATGATTTACTATGTGGGTGGATGCTGGTTTCTTTCATTGCAGAAGAAACGCTTATTTGCCCTTGATGTTGAAGCCATTGCACGGACAGGGGAGGCAATATCAATGCTATCTTATAACCGACTCTTTTTGGGGAAAGCAGCAGCTTCTAGAGACACCTTGTTTGCTTTCTTGTCCTCAACCCCATTCTCTGTGTATTCAATATGCACATGCGCATTGCTGATCAGTCCTCAAATCCTTGGTGACATTATGATAATCCTTAAAGCAATCCTCCTTTAAGAAGAGAAGGCCAGCACTTTGTTTCTTGTAGAAAATCTCTTATGACGAGTGTGGGACGCAACAGAAAGGAAGACAAGGCAAACACTGAAAGGTGGAGACCCAAAGACCAAGAACACAGACCCAGAGGGAAAGAAGGCGACTGAAGCAGTATCCTTGAATAACCTTGTTTCGAAAATTGTGGAAAATAAGCCACTCTATGTAATCCCTTTATGAACTGTTAGCTTATGGCTTTAGTCACAGAGAAAGTGTGTAATGAGATTACACCACGTAAGAAAACATGGTTGTCGGCTGCTGGGGGGAAGAACAAAACAAAGAAAGCAACACATGGGCAATTATGATTCTGTGCGCGCCGCCCCCCCCCCTTCAGAAACAAAACAATGAGGAAAGAAGATCCTCTGATAATGCAAATGCCACACTCCTGCCTCCCCCAGCTGCACATCTTTGGAGAGAATGCATCTGCTTTCATTGTTCACATCCTAATGCTCCTCTTATGATGAAACCGTAGTGTGGTTTTAAAGGGAAAGACGAGTTCTATGGATGATGCCTTCTCTTGACACCGACAGAACTGTATGGCAAAGATAGCCTCCCGCCCTCTACTCCGGCCACCTCATGCCCAACTCCAGCCTCGCCACTGTCATATATAGTTTCTTTGGTAATAATTAGAAGCCCGGGTGGCACAGTGGGTAAAGAAAGGGCTTGGCTATTAACCAAAGGTGAACAGATGGAACCCACGTGTCACTCCGTGGGAGAAAGCTGTGGCAGACCACTTCCACAAGGACTTAGATAGTCTTGGAAATCCTTGGTGAGTTAGTTAATTGTGCCAGCCTGGCCAATAATCACATGTGGGGTAATTTAAAGGCGGGGGGATAAATGGGTGGTGAGCCTCGCCTTTCTAGTTCTCGGGTCTCTTGCTTTGTGATGGTCGCACCAGAGTGCAGCTGCCTTACCAGTTCCCTGCTTCAGCTTGCAAGATTGACTTCCTACAAGACATCCCCAAGGAGAAGCTACATGGACCTATCCTGATGCAGCCCTGGGTGCTGGAGCAGCCGTGTGGAGACCCCTGCTAGTGCTGAGATGCTTATTCACTGACTCAGCTTTCCTCCTGCAGTTGGCATCATTGCCTCTGTTTTGTGAGGTGGAAGACATTGTGGACTGGTGTTGGGTTAATGGGTTAATGTTGGACTTGTGGGCTTGGGCAGCATTGGGTTGGGATGTTTTCGTGATGCACATTTTCTTTACATAAAACTCTCTCTTATACATGAGTTGCTGTGGATTTGTTTCTCCAAAGTACCCAGACTAATACATTAGGGGACAGTTCGACTCGGTCCTTTAGGGTAAGTGTGGGTCAGAATAGACTCCACCCTGGTGGGGATGTCACTGGGAACACAGAACACACGGACAGGAGCAGAATCACGAACCACTCTCGCTTCTCTGGTCACTCTGTCCCCTAGCACCAGAGGCATGGCAATAGAGGAGGTGAGGATAGAGGGCAGTGTTAGAAGGGAAGGTCTACGGAGTCTTTCTACTCCACCAAAGAGTTGCAGTCTGGAAGACTCACCGGGGCTATTCTTTTTTTTTTTTTTAATCATTTTATTGGGGGCTCATACAACTCTTATCATAATCCATCCCTTGTGTTGAGCACATTTGCACATGTATTGTCACAGGGGCAATTCTACTGTGTCCTATAGGGTTGCTATGAGTTGGCATTGACTGATGGCAGTGTTTTCTGTTTGTTTGTTTGTTTAAGGGATATCACTCAATGAATTAAAGTACTACTTTGTTTTAGAGAAACTCCCTGGGACAAGGTGTACCACTATCTATTCCTCTGCTCAAAGCACTTATCTGCCCACGTGCAGCCTCTTCACTGAGTTAGTTGTGAGGGAGAAGACTGGCAAAAAAAAACCCCAAACTTATTTTTTGTGCTCTTTGCCCATGTATCTGGACATTATTTTAATGTGGTTATCTCCAGTCAGAAGAGATTTCAAAAAGCAAACCTGGGAAGGCCAGCCCCCAGCGTCACCCTGGTGTTTACTCCTCACTCTCCTCCACCCCTGGGAATGAACATACACACACACACACACACACACACACACAGTAGGGGTACTGTCATTTCTCCTGTGCTCTGCTTTGGGGTGACTTTTGCCCAGGTCTCACAGGCCATCTGCCCCCACTCCCTGTTCTCCCACTAAGCAGGGCTGACTGATGGCAGGCTGGGCAGATGCACAGGAGCACCGCTGCTGCTGCATCCACGGTGTGTGCTGCGCTCCTCTGGGAAGTGGTTCTGCCCTCAAACTTTCCTCAGCGAAAGCAATGAAGGTGTCCATGTAATTTCCACGCAGTGACTTAATGTGTTAAGTACAAGATGGACAAGCTTGGTTTGTATTTTTCAGCTGATAGGATGACAGCGTTATGAGAAAGATGGGTGTCAGATGTTTGGACAGGGTCACCATTTCAGTGCTCAGCGGAGGCGCTCTTTTCTGTAGCTAAAGCTCAGCGCATGAGTGCCTGTGTGCCTCCTCACGAGCCAGGTGTGAGCAGCCGAGAGGTATAGTAATTATCAGCTCCAAGACAACCCTGCCCAGAAGCCAGGAGACCTGCAAACATCCAAGTTCACACTTTGAATTGTGTCCAGGTGGGAATAAATTGCTGGAGAGCCTAAGGGCCCAATAAACAGGAGTGCTTTGGGATGAAGACAAGGCCCTTTTTCCCTCTGAATTGATCAGATGGGCTGTGTGTGTTGCTACTCGCACACATGTGAACGCCTTCCCACTTACCCATCTGTTTTGTCGGTGACCAACCCAGGGCCCTGAAGCACATCACAGCCAGGAGGTGGGACAGCGTGTGGGGCAGATAGGAAGCAGAGGCAGAGAGGGCACATGGGCAGAACCTTCTCTGCCTCATTTTTTCCTTAATGAGCCCTCCTGAGACCAAGCCTCCCGGAAACCTCCCACCTTGGGCAGCCTCCAGAAACAGCGTGCTAATCCCCCTTTCTAACTTGAGTTCATCACCAGTGCAGGTATTTTAGCTGTCGGTATTAAGCAGCTCACAGCATGGTGGGACGATATCCATTTCTACAGGACAATCCATTTAGGGGAGATCGATTAATTCAGTGCGCTGGACTTTCAGCATTTGGACTCCGCAGCATCTAAGCACATGAACTAACGTTGAAAGGAAACAGCAGCAACAGCGCATGCTGACCCCAGACATGAGCAAGTCTCTCTAGCAGCCACATGCCGCCCCCGTATGCATTGCATTCACCAGAACAACAAACTGCTCGGGACATTGCCACAATCCCGACGGGTCATTTTCTATGCCTTCAGACCATTTCCTCCAGACTGCCCATGAATATCCGCGGGAAAATACAA